ATACTTGCAAAGACAAACTGTCAGAAGATGAGAAATTTTTAATTAAAATTGAAATAAAGCCATTGATTCAAGACATTTCTATGTAGGAAATGCTTAAAATCGCCAACTGAAGCTGTTGGATTCGAAATGCAAGTTAGCTGCCAAACTCAATGAACAAATTTGTGCAACCTTGTGTTTCATTTTCTTCTTTCCACAAGCAAGAACTCCAACACTCGATTCTTTGCGCTTGAACAGAATTCGACTAAACAAACTTTACAGTGAATTTGCCAAAAAAAAAAAAAAAAGCACTAGTAAGTCTCCACATATATTCCAAGTTGTGTGTATTATCTTAAAAGGTCGACTTTATTAAGAAAAATAGTCCAAGTCTTTATGTGTTATTTATTTATTTTATCTTTAATCGATATGGAATATTACCCTTAACAGTGTCCATGTGTGTGTTGAGTATATGACACATGAAGTTTCTGTATATGGTTTTCAGTGTAGTTGATCAATGCAGGCTTCGTCCACTCTCATACTATATTAAATGACTAGCTCATCTAAAACTTTAAACTAATATTATAGAAGAATCGGAATACTATAGAAATTTATATTTATATCTTCGACTAGGCCAACAATCCCAACCCCACATGGGAACTAAAAGAAAATAACTTAGTCTTGATGTCGGGCCTTTCACGATTGTTCACGTTGATAGATTGAAGAAGAGACTGTTGAGGTAAACTCTCTAGTTCTCTATCTGCATTATAGAGCCATGAATTGGTGATGCCACAGCAGTTTGCGCCTTCCATGTTCAGAATTTGTGTCGTTCATTTGCAGTTTTTCTTTGTTTCATAGAAAAGCTGCGTCGACCTGATAAAAATGCAGATACCGATGAATAATACGTTCAAGACAGCTCTTGAGGAAGTAGAGTTGATTTTTATAATCAATGGACGTATATGTAGTATTGCGTTAAAATTCCAATGAATATGATGAAAGACATCGAGATTATTGATCTGAGCCAGAGCCAGTTGTTTTCACCCAAAATTGGAGTTATCGGTGCATCAGATGGATTAGGCTTGAACCATACTGTCCGAATACTCTTCTTTTCTTGTTCTGAATTTTGCATTTCAATGTCTCGTTCCCATAAATGATCTCATAAACAATAGAGATGAACGGAGTTATGCCACTGCCTCCGCTCACCAACACCAATCAATAAATCATCCCTGTAAAAAATACAACAAAACAATAAATAAAATTTTAACTTCTTTTTCTTCTTTAATATTGTCCAGTATTGTAGGTCTATACTATCTAAGAAGCCAAAAGGACATATACAATAATGGATGAAACTGAACAAAACAAGACTCCATCTAGCATGAAAGACATGCCGCCAATTGTGGATTTTAACTCTCACTTTCTTAGTCCTACGGGGATCTTCAAATGACAATCACAAAGATTTTAGCTTATTTTTCTTTCATAATGCTGTTAGTGTTGTTGTATCTAGTTTACCATATTAGCAGCAACAAATATTGACATTCAACATCAGTGGAGAAAATAAGGAAGGGGAGTTTTAAGAGAATAAATCAATGGAGGAAAGCAAGGAATCATTGAGACAAATTGATCAAGATGATTGATGATTATGATGATGTGCTTAATTTTATACTCATATGGTGGAGTAT